CATCCTTGTCCCCAGTCCCTCTGCAGCTCTGCTGGAGCCCCTCAGGCCCTGCCAGGGGCTCTGAGCTCTCCCTGCAGCTTCTCCTCTCCACTGTGTTTCCAATCCCTGCTGCAGATGCTGCCCCTCACTCAGTGCTCCTGGGAATGGGAGGGGCTGCTGCACTCCCTGCAGCTGCACCCGCAGCTCTGAAACACAGAGCACATCCCACCACAGGAATTTAAGGAAGAAAAGTCAAATACCAACAGCACATAAACGAGAAACTGAAATTTCTGTGGCTGGTGAACTGATTAGAAGATTAACATCCAGTATTTCAGGGAATGGATGTATATAGAACTCCTCTTTTAGAGATGAGGAGCACTGAAAAAAAAACTGGATTAATGATTTCTGTGGAATTCTGTGTGAAAGCACTGGGGAAGCACTTGCCAGTCTTAAAAGTTTGTTCCAAGATTCCCAGGTTTCAGGAAGTTTCTCAGCAGAGGCTGAACTCCCAGCACCTCCCTGGATGCTGGGATAAATAACAGTATTTTGGAACAGCTAAAAGTTATTTCCACATGGACTGTACTTATGACACTTCCTGGATTTTATTGTCCCTTCTTTTCACTGTGAAGGAGCTGTTCAGGTTAAAAATATTTCTTTTAAGGAAAACACAACCTGCAGAAAAGCTCCCAAGCAGCTCTACTGAATATTTAGGATATCTACTGAATATTTAGGATAAATCACTCCATTACAATTCCATCTGGAACTGGGTGTGTGAAGAACCTGAATTTGGCTGTATTTTACACACATTTCCAGGGCAGAGGAACAAAACAAGAACTGATCCTTTGGTGGCCACCCTCAGGTGCAGCAGGAACAGTTTGGAAGGACCAACCCTGAGGAAATCCTGGGAATCCACACCTCCAAAAGGGAACTGGAATAGCACAAGGCCTGGTACAAGGGAGGAAAAGCAGCACAATCCTCCTGAGATGCACATCCTGCCCAGGGCATCTGCAATCCAAACTGTCTGGCACTCTTGGAAAAGGGTTTCTTGGCTTTTTGCCCTTTTTTACCTTCTGATGTTTTCCAGGCCTTCCAGAGGTCCTCCACACTGATGAGCTTGTCCTCTCCATGGAAAGTGCTGTGCTTGACTGCTGGGTCATGGTAATTCAAGTCTTCCCTCAAGAACTAGGAGAGGAATTAACAGCAGGTTTAAGCTTTGGTTCATCTTTCAGGGAGATGAGGAGCATTAAAAAAAGTTTAAAATAGTAATGATTTTGATGGGAAAGTCATAATAAATCTGAATTCTAAAAAGCCCATAAATATAATGGATATATTAGATATATACATCTATCTTTTATACAGATATAAGTATATTCCCTGTGGTACCCCTGAAAATCTCTGTTCCTGGGAAGATGAGCCAGGAAGTACTCAATAAGTAAATACATTCAATTCCTTTTAATACAGAGAAGGGATAATTAATTAGAACTTTCAGTCTTGGGATTCCAGACTTTTCTCTGAATTGTAGTAACACCAAAAATTCACCTAAGTGGCACAATGAAACCAGCTTTATGTCACTGGAGTAAGAACCCAAGAATTATTACTGGATTTGACCAAATCCAAGCTGGAACAAATGCCACGGGCAGGAGGGGAGGCATCTCCATTGAAAAATAGAAATAAATCTATTTATCCCAGCTCAGTGGGGGCCCAGAGCAGCTGGGGCTGCCCCTGCATCCCTGGCAGTGTCCCAGGCCAGGCTGGGCACTGGGGACAGTGGGAGCTGTCCCTGCCATGGCAGGGGTGGCACTGGGTGGGCTCTGAGGTCCTTCCCAACCCAAACCAGGCTGTGACATCCACCAGCAGACAGAGAACCACTCACACTCCAGTGCCCAACAGGTGGAACCAAGTGCAAGGATAATTCCACATTCCCACTCCCCAGGACATGTTCCCCACACAGACAGCTTCATCCCTGGGCTCTTCCATGTGCTACAGGATGATACCCACACCCAAAAAACACCTTAGAGCTGGAGATGTGTGTCAGACAGGGCACGGAGAAGATCGGGGCAGCTTTGGATCCCAGGCTCCCGGCAAAGCCAGGGAGGCAGCTCCAGCCTGGGGCTCTGCCTGCTGCCCAAAGGCTGCCAGGGCAATTCCTGCCCCCCAGAACACAGGAAAATGGAAAATGTGGGGAAATGTGGGGAATGGGAGAACGTGGGGAAATGTGGGGAAAGGGGAAACTGGATAATTGGGGAAATATGGAAACTGGAGAACGTGGGGAAATGTGGAAACTGGAGAACGTGGGGAAATGTGGAAACTGGAGAACGTGGGGAAATGTGGAAAATGGGAGAATATGGGGAAATGTGGAAACTGGAGAATTGGGGAAATGGGGAAACTGGAGAATTGGGGAAATATGGAAAATGGGAGAATCTGGGGAAATGTGGAAAATGGGAGAATATGGGGAAATGTGGAAAACGGGGAATGTGGGGAAATGTGGAAAATGGGAGAATTGGGGAAATGGGGAAACTGGAGAATTGGGAAAATGGGGAGAATGGGAGAATGTGGGGAAATGGGAAAAGTGGGACAATTTGGGGAAATGTGGAAAATGAGAGAATTTGGGCAAATGTCTGTCTCAGCAGGGGCTGAGCCTCGGGGCTCCAGCTGTGCCAAGCCCTGTCCCTGTGGGTGCCGCCGTGACCGAGTGGGAACACGGCAATGTCACCAATGTCACCGATGTCACCAATGTCACCGGCCCTGCTCCAGCCCCAGCTCCCACCACAGCACAGTCAGCTGCTGCTCTGTATATTTAGCTCGGGTGCACAGAAAGGAAAGGTGATCCCTCAGCTTCCCTTGGGCTCACGGGGGCCAGAACAAACCCAAGGACTCGGCACAGGGGACGGAGCTGGGCTGGGGGATGTCCTGATAAATGAGCAGGGAGAGGATGCAGAGTGGGGCTGGGGGAGCTGGCTGAGCCCACCAAAGCCGAGACAGACCTTAAAGCACGTTTTCCACCAGTAGCTCCTGGGGAAAAGACAAAATCATGGAGTCCCAGACTAGTTTGGGTTGGGAAGGACCTTAAAGTCCACCCAGTCCCACCCCTGGCATGGACAGGAGCACCTTCCACTATCCCAGATACTCTAAACCCCAGGCACACCAAGCACTGTGCAGAGCACTGACCTCCTTGCAAACCACTGACAAGCAACACTTCCAAGTGTTAAAGATCCCACTGATCCTGGGCCTGGAGACACACAAAGCTCTGAGCCCCGGACAGAGGGTGGGCCAGACCATTGCCAAGGCCCCACAGACCCATCCAGACCGCTCAACCTCAGTCAGGCTGTGAATCCACAAGGAAACTCAGTCAAACCTGAGTCTCCCCACCAAGTGCAGGGAAAGGCAAACCCTGACCAAACCAGCCAAAAGCAACAGGACCAGAACCACTGGTACAAACCCCAGGAGGAGCTGGGATCACAGTGGGAAGACTCAGCCTGGGAATGCTGATCTTGGTGCTCTGGGGCCTCCAACAGCAGGAGGACCTGCAGCTGCTGGAGAGAGCCCAGAGGAGCCACAGAGCTGCTCCAGGGCTGGAGCCCGTCTGCAGCCAGGCTGGGAGAGCTGGGGGTGCTGGAGACCTGGAGAGGAGAAGCTGCAGGGAGAGCTCAGAGCCCCTGGCAGGGCCTGAAGGGGCTGCAGGAGACTGCAGAGGGACTGGGGACAAACTTGCTGGCTGAAGGCACACTCAGAAATGAGCAGATCCACTAAATGGGATTTTCTTGAGGAGTTTTTTTCCATAGAATCACAGAATATCCTGAGTTGGGAGGGACCCAAAAGGATAATCAAGTCCAACCCTGGGTCTGTACAGCCCCAACAACTCCACCTTGTGCCTGAGAGCCTTGTCCAACCTCTCCTTGAACTCTGTTCTGTGGTTTTTTTATCTGCAGAAACTGCAGCTACTGGAGTGATTTTTCAAGGCTTCCCATCCCTCCCACACCCCTGGATGTGTGCCACCCTCCTTCCCTAGCACCAGCTCCTGCTGAGCCCAGCCAAGGGCCAGACCCAGCCACGTGCTGGCAGCTCCCTGTGCTCCCCAACCCCAGCAGCTGCTCCAGAGGGACAGAAAGCTCCTGCCTCCAAGGCCTTCCCCAGCCAGCGAGCCCAGGCAGCGGGACCCGGCTCTGGGAGGAGCCAGGGAAAGGCTGGGCAGCAACACAAACCTTGTTTCCTGAGGAAACCAGGCTGGCAGCATCCCAGAGCCCTGGCACCGGGCAGCCACAGCCCAAAGAGCCAGAGCTGCCTTTGCTGTGAGCGTGCAGACAGGAATAGATCCCTAATTAGAAGATTTCCCCATGAGGGACAGTTCTTTCACTTTAATTGAGGCCATTGATGTCATCTGAAACTTCATTGACACTGCAAGGATGATGTATGGACAGCGTGAAGCTGTGGGACGCAACCCCACCCATCATTTATTTTAAAAATACCTGTGCTGTCTGTGTGTCCCCTTCTGCCCAGGCAGCGGTGTCAGTCCCAACAAAACACTCCCACCACTGACTCCCAAAGGGCAGGGGCCAAAATAATAAATGAAAAAATCAAGTTCTCAGCCAATCAGGAAAATGCCCATCCCTGGAAGTGTTCCAAACCAGGCTTAGAGCAACCTGGGATAATGGAAGGTGTCTCTGCCCATGGCAGGTGCTGGAACTGGATGAGGTTTGAAGTCCCTCCCAACCAGACCATCCTGGAAGCCCATGAACCCTGTAAAAGGTTTAAATTTGAGCCTCCTGCATTCTTCCCAATAATCCCCCAGCAGCTGTCCCCCCACAGCCCAGAGTTAAACCTGACTGCAGGGTCCATGTGGGGGACAGTGATAACCTTGACAGGGAGAACACAGCAGAGCCAGCTCAGAGAGGCAAATTCCTGCAATACCTCACTGAGAGGCTCCAGAGCTCATTGACAGGTGAGCCTAATGCAACTTCAATAAAAGCTTAGCAGAGGTAAAGCAGCAGCTGCATGGATGGAATCCAGGGACAGGGAATCACTGAGGTTGGAAAGACTTCGAAAATCATGGAGCCCAACTGTAAATGCAACAACCTGAGTGCTCTGGCTGGGGGCAATGCCAGCACAAACACACAAACACAGCCTGGGGAGAATGGACTGGGAGCAGCCCTGGGGAGAAGGAGCTGGGGATTGGTGGGAGAAGCTCCACAGGCCCGGGCCATGAGCACTGGGACCTGAAATCCCTGTGCCTGGGCTGTTCCCACAGGGTGGGCAGCAGGAAAGGGATTGGCATTGTGTCCCTGTGCCCCACTCAGGCTGGACAGCCCTTTCCAGGAGGAATTTTCCCAATGTCCAAGCTGAACTTCGCCTGGTTCAATTAAGGCCGCTCCCTCTGCTCCTGTCCCTGTTCCCTGGGAGCAGAGCCCGACCCCCCCGGCTGTGCCCTCCTGGCAGGGCCTTGTGCAGAGCCACGAGGGCCCCTGAGCCTCCTTTGCTCCAGCCTCAGCCCCCTCTCAGCCTCTCCTGGTGCTCCAGACCCTTCTCCAGGCCTGTTCCCTGCTAGGAGCAGAGCAGAGGTGTGGGAGCAGGAGCAGCCCTGCAGGGCTCAGCCCTGCTCAGGTGCAGCTCAGAGGGGTTTGGAGAGTCCTTGTAGGAGCACCAAGGTAGTGATTCTGGAGCCTCCTGGAAAATCCCACTGAATTCTTCCACCCTGGCAGCGTCCCTGTGCCAAGGCTCTGAGCACACATTCCCAGCAGGGTTTGTACCAGGAGCTCCCAATGACTCCAGTGAGAGCAGGAGCAAGATTTGCTCAGAGACATAAAACTGCCAGCTCAGCCCAGCCCTAAGGACACGAGAATTATTCCTAATTTAATGCCAGGGAACAGCACAGTTGGGCTGAGCTGGGCTGCCCAAGGCTGCCCCGGTCCCTGGGAGAGGCTGAGCCACCCAGTGCAGGGAGCTGCCTCCAGGGAAACACCTCAAGAGGCGGAGGACATGCAATTGGAAGCCTTTCAATTGTTTTCATTACTCAGTTAAGTGGGATTGAGGCAGAGGGAACAGCCCTGCCAGCTGGGAACAGCCACCCAAAACCAGCAGCTGCCGGCACCAGGGGCCTGTGCCGTGTCCCTGGGGACTGCCACTGCTCCAGAGGGACACTGGGATGGCTGGGCTTGCAAGAGCAGCTGGGGCTGCCCCTGCATCCCTGGACACTGGGGCTGGAGCAGCCTGGGGCAGTGGGAGGTGTCCCTGCCACGGCAGGGGTGGCACTGGGAGGATTTAAGGTCTCTTCCAGCCCAAAGCAGTCTGGGGTTCTGTCACCTGGGACTGCAGAGCTACCCCTGAGTGGCAGCACATCCCTGCACCCACGTGCTTCTTTCTGCTTCCAACACTCTGCCTTTCCTGTTTAGCTGCCAGTCGTCCCTACAAGACAGAATTCCTCACCTCCAACGAGCACCCACCACAACTGAGGCAACACTGCAAACAAAGAGCTTTCCCTTTTCCTGCAGACTCTTATTTCCATCGCTGCTTGTGTAAACAAAGAAAAACAACTTTCTTTCTCTTCAATCTTTTATCAGCTAAAATCTCTAAGGCTAACACAACAAAAAGCTGCTCCTTTTTTAGCAGTGAGCACACACAGACTGAAACTGCTTTAGTTGGCTGCTACAAGAATGCAGTAAACATAAAATCATGGAATGGTTTGGGTTGGGAGGGACATTAAAGCTCATTTAATTCCATCCCCTGCCATGGGCAGGGATACCTTCCACTATCCCAGGTTGCTCCAAGCCTCATCCAACCTGGCCTTGGACATTTTTAGGGATAGGACACCCACAGCTGCTCTGACAACAATGAAGTGGCTACAAACCCCCAGCAGGGAGGAGAAGCCCCAGCCAGCACTGGTGACAGGGCTGAGACACCCCTTGGATCATCTCAAGGTGACACGTGGCTTCCTCTGGGGTGAGGAGGAGGCACCAAGCCCAAGTGCAGTCCTGGCCACAGCAGCCTCACTGTGAGAGCAGGCTCAGGTGATACCTTGGGTTTTAGGTTTCTCTGTTCTGTTTTGGTGTGCAGATTTTACCTTTCTATTAAGTGTTACTAGGATCTTTTCACAGGGTGGTGAAGACAAAACCATCCTATTCCAGCTGGAGACTCAAGGACAATCTCTTCAAACTTCAGGCCCAAAGCACAAACAACATGAAAAGATGAGGGTGGGCAAGCGAACAAGGAGGATGAAACTTCATCATTTGAAGCTATTAGTTGGACAGTCAGCTCCTGTATGCAAATGGACTAAAACTTATAAAAATGTGACATCTCATGACCAAGCTCTTTTGCTTCCATCTTGGAGCCACCTGGGCAGAGCCAGGACTGTGGCTGTGGTCCTGCCAGGGTGTGGCCTTTGAAGTCTCTTCAATAAATACCCTTTTTGTTGCCCCCAACTGCATGTAACCCCTGTTCCAGCCGCTCAAGGCCCCACCGGGCACAGCTTAGCCTTGCACCAACCTCGTCGCTCTCCTCCACATCCACGTTGCCGTTGGCGTCATCGTCCATCTGCTTGTGGATATTGCGCACGGCCTCGAAGCTCAGCTGCTCGTCCTCATCATGGCATAGGGCCTTGTCAATGCGGCAGAACTCTGTGGGGCAACAGCAGCATGTCAGGCAGCAGAACCGGGCCCTGAGGGAGCACCGACCCCAGAGGGAGCACTGACCCCTCAGGGAGCAGAACCAACCCCTGAGGGGGCACTGATCCCTCAGG